TTATTATGACATTACCAAGTATTGTAGTAATTTTTTTATATAGTCTGTTTCAGAATTGTGAAGTTCCAGTACACATTGACGATGACTTTAAGTTGCATATATAATGTATTCATTCCATATCTATATCTCTAATAGTTGTATTATATTCAAAAACCAGCCCACATCCTACAGACATGAAATACTGATACAGTACACATAGTGAACTCCGATAAGGCAAGTTAGCTGTAAATTCTCTGACATAAGTTTGTTTCAGAATTGTGAAGTTCCAGTACACATTGGTCATGACTTTAAGTTGCAGATACAATGTATTCATTCTATAGATATATCTCTGATAGTCATATTATATTCAAAAATCAGCCTGCATCCTACAGGCATGAAATACTGAATCAGTACACATACTACACCTAATAAGCCAAGTTAGCTGTAAATTCTCTAATTTAATTCTGTTCTCATTTATCATATATAGTTGGTCATCATGTTGATGGTCATGTTGGGCATTGTATGTATTTTACAGAATTAGTAGGCATATTTTGAAAGTACATAAGTACATATTTCAGATGAGATATTGGAATTCAAAGTACATCTGATGTTGTCTGGTAGAATGAAATTGTGGTTTATATAGACACATTGATATCCGTGGTTGCTCTTTTCTTATGCTCGATCTTTGGTTCTATGTTAAGCATATTGACACTAACAAGTTCAAAACTGGTTCACCAGTAGGTCCATTCATCGTTCCAAAGGGGTTTGCCTTCTCTGTCGACTCTCTAATGGCAAATGTTACACTCCAAAAAGATGAGATCATTCTCGTCAATTTCATGAATTGGCCACATTGTCATTTTGTGCCTTAGTGCAAGTCGTTTCATAGCATTGAAACAGGATTTGAATTAAGTGCACTAGAATGGTATTGAGTGCATAAAAGGTTTATTAGAAATTTTTTACTTTACTGACTTGTTTCTCATCACCTTTGAGAGTCTTCTGCATGCATTTGCTCACCTAAATTGGGTTCATTTGCAATAGTTGTTCTATTACAGAAGAGATTCAGTGCTGCAATTAATCTAATAATAACAATTATGCTAACTGCCAGGTTCATAACCATATTTATGCAGCAGGTTAACCGCAGCCTCTGCATCTCCACCAACTATGGGATAAATGGTGATGTTGAGATGAGGGGGAAGCATATAGTTTCTCCGCACATTGTTTGTGCAAATTTTGCCCATGAGCCAGATGGTGATGTCTTTGCCATTGAAACAAAGGAAGTGGTGTAATTCATCTTCGGTCCTAAACGATCACCACATTATATCATCGAAAATGTGGCGAATACTGAAATAAGCATTAGTGGGGTTCGAGTAGTCGCTCATCTTCTATAGTGTTGTGTAGTCCTGTCCTGTCCTGTCTTTTTGCTTTTTTTGAGAAGAACCAGGACCAGGACCAGAACCAGGATCAGGACTGCAGTCCTGGTAGAACTGGTAAGGACTGCAGTCCTAGGACCAGTCCAGACTAGTCTAGGATCAATGCCAGTCCTAACTGGTCCTGAATCAGTCTGGACTGATCTTTTTCATCTAAGGCATCAATGACATATAGATAAGAGAACACGCAGACAGTAGAATCTTACTCTAGGCTGTACTAATTCAAATCTGTATGGGTAGCTTATGAATATATCACCTGTAGCTTATTACGCAGTACTTTTATTCCTCTGAAATTGTCATTTATACAGTTCAAATATAAAAAGTTGAAGCTTATGTTTTTGTTCTTATGAACTGGTCCTGAACTAGTCCAGGACCAGTCCTTATAGTCCTAAAAATTTCCAAGATAAGAAGGACTGAGAGCCAGAACCAGGACTACACAACACTAATCTTGTGAATCCTTTTATTAGAGTTAATAAGTGTATTAGTATTGGCATATGAGATCATGGATGAACTCTAATAAGGGCTGTTTGTACTCCCAGTCACATCAACTAGTAATGACTCCTATCACAATAGGACTGGGAAGTAATGGGATAAGTGTGGGTGGAAATAGTTTCAATGATTAAAATATGTATGGAGTATTAGCATCACCGGTAGACAGTCTGGCACCATTGTCAGCTGTTGCCATTGTATCATTTATAGGATCGAAACTGCATATGACAGGGTAAGCTTATGAACAAATGAGTTATAGCAGCCGGAACACATTACTTGGTGTTCACATTGTCAGATAAAGCATGGTCATCTGACATGAATGGTCAGAGAATGGTCATTGAGAATGACAACAATAACCACCCTCCTATGCTGAAGTGTATATCTGCTCACACCTCCATTGCTATGCGGATACTCCATTTACCTGCACAGCTAAGGACATCAAACTAGAAGTGACCTATGATCTCAGGGTGCTCTCCGACTATGTCAGGCCTATGTTTGATCATCACGACAGCCACCTCTTCCAACACAACTTTACTAATATCAACAGCAACCTCATCCCCCCCTGGGAGTGGCACGACAAACTGCGTGAAAAGACTTTTATCATGGTCATTGCCACTCTTCACTGCTTCTCACACTGTACTTGTCCTCCATAGATGACTTTGGCCAACAGGTGTATCAAATCCAGGCAATTAAGCTGCATGTGCTCACTGAATCCAATGTCCCCATCACAGTTCCCCATGTTCCTTACATGCCGCCACCCTTTACCATGGCCCCACTGCTCCCACATTTAACAACTTCCTCACCCATGTGCAAAAGAAAGTTAAAAAGAAGTGAATCAACACCAACTATCAAAGTGGCCGCTCTCTGACAGCTGTATGACTACTGTACCATTACAACCAATCTGGCCAGTCACACATCCGAATAAGGTTGGCCTGGCCAGAATTCTGGACATGTCCTATGTCACGAGTATTATGGTCAGATGGTACAACCTTAGGTACTCAGACTGTGACTTGGCCAGCTGGCCAGTTACTCCATCAGTTTTCCCTTCTCAGTGGCCAGCTTGGCCGGCTGACTGCGTGTTCACCGTCCATTGTCATGACTGTTCTGGCTGGGTGGCCGGATCATTACAAGACTGTCCATTATCACACCCTCAGCCGGAATGGTCGTAATGGCACAGTATATGTGGGGTATCTCATTTCCTTTCATGTTCTTTTAGTCAACTGTAATATATGTAATACTTGATGCTTAATGTCTCTCTTGCCATTTTGCCTTATCTTGTAACTTGTACATGTACATCTGTACTTGTTTGGAGTGGGCCACTGCTCCCATGGCAGGTATGATGACTGAATTTGACTAGCATCTTTGAAATTTCAAGAAAAAAGTAGTCAACATCTAAGTTGCATGATACCTTGAAAGATCTTATTATAAATGAGTGCCTTGTATCTATTTTTTAAATAACTTAGTGCAAATATGCCAGTTATTTATCAACTCTGTATATGGACATTCTAGTAATTTTACCAAAGTTAAAAATAAGCAGTAACTAACATACTTGGGAGGTAGAGTGTATGGTATTTAAAACTATAAGTGAAAGCATGACACAATGTGAAGTAACATAGTAAAAAAATAATTTATTACTACATGCTAACTTGTGACCATATGGGCAAGGTAAAGTCTAAGTGTTCAAAATGCTATTCAGGTATAGTTGAAAAGAAGAGATTCTTGTAGACTATCAAAAAGTACTTAATCTATTAACATCTCCACAGGACATGAGGAAAATAAGAGACTGGTGAGATAAAGGGTTGCTAACATGGCAGGTTTAGGGCTGGCAATAATGGACTTAAGGACTTTGCTAGCAGGCATGGTCTTATTTGCATTGTGGTTAAAGGACATTCTGAGTGAAACTTCCTTTAGGCCTCAAGCAGATAATTAAAATTACATTTAGCCAAGAGCTGATGGACAACAGCTTACTGACCATTCTACTAAGTTCATTCTCATGTTTTTTAAAACTTAAAAAGCTGGCTGCTATTCAGACCTTATAGCGGCCTTTAGAAAAAAAATTATACAAACTGTCATGTGAGGTTAGTGGAGTTTAATTTTATTAGTCATTTCAGTTTAATTAGTGATGTGGACATGTGTCTATTTTTTTTAAAAATATGTATCTTAAGATTTTCTGAATTATCTGTAATGTATCATCCAGTATAAATTTGTGGATTTATAATAAGAATTAATATGTCCTTTAATAGGATCTAATAATTCTAGTATACTAGCTTACTATATTATTCAACTTGTATGACTTCACTTAAAATCAGTTTGTAACAGCTTTATAATAGCACTGTATGACGGTATGGAGATGAATGAGAATGAAGAGAATGACAAAATGTACATGCGCCTTTTTTCTCACATCCAATTCACTAATTAAATGTGTCCAGAGACCCGAAAAATGTTGAGATTTATGAGAAACTCTTGAAGCTGGTGCCAAGGTTTTGGGATTCACTGAAAGATTTTGAGGAAGATACACTCTCCTCGCTTATCAGTCAGGTAACTGTCTTTTCTCACTTCATTTTCTTGTTTTCAACTTCTACTAGATGTCCAAGGCTGGCGGCCTTACACATTCATCGGACACTGCCTCTCTTAAAAGAGCAGCCTGATGCTACTTACCAGATTACAATCCGCAGGACGACAGACTACTGCCAACCTTACAGGACAAGTCGGACAGAGGATTTGAGCATCCAGAGTTCGCTCGTCTCCTCTGTCCTCGTAGTTTCCTAGAACAACTAAAAAATGACTAGGACAGGTGAGTATCATTTGTGGGTCATTTTGACTAGTGTCTCAATATAGGTTGACCATGTTTAGTGAGGTGATCCAATTGCGTGATGGTCGTGTTTCTGTCACCACAGAAGATTGGCCGTCATTTCTATATGATGATACCCAGCCATATGATCTAGCTAATATTGACAAGGGGCTGTTTCACAACAAGTTTTTACAATGGGTAAGCTGTAACCCCACTCACGTGCTTACGACAGTTTGTTTGTTCCTCCTTCCTACTATATACTGTTTATATCATGTTCATCTTTGTTGCCCTTTCCTTACTCTCTCCCCACAGCAATGAAGGTATGTACATGTACGCTGTCTGCTCTGTATCATAGTTCCTTACTCTCTCCTTATGGTAACGAAGATTATAGTTCACACCTGTTCCATCTTTGGCTGATTCTGAGTGAAGTGTGCCCTCGACTGGACTTGCTTACACTTTTTTTGAACGCCGCGCTCTCTACTTCCATCTTCGCACATTCCTTTATCTCGCCAAGCTGTTTGCCCCACGCCGGTCCCCATCTGTACCTGATCCCATTGGTACACGATCCAGGTTGCACCTCTCCTGCCTCATTGTCCTGCCTCTCCCGCCCGTCGTCCTGCCTCTCCCGCCCATCGTCCTGCCTCTCCCGCCCGTCGTCCTGCCTCTCCCGCCTCATCATCCTGCCTTTTCCGCCTCATCATCTCACCTCTCATGGACATCGACACTGAAGACAATGGGCTCGCTGCCTCTACATTGTCTTTTCCTGCTCTCACGCTTCTCTCTGAACTCTCTGACCTCTTAGCCGACACTCTCGAGGAAGATAGGACTTCCAACATGCATACTGTCTCCGAGTCCTTGCAGATCCCTTCCATTCTGCAGATCCCTTCCATTCTGCAGATCCCTTCCATTCTGCAGCCTCGATCTCAATCTGCTCCCCCAATACTCTCCGATCTGATCGCACAGCTCGCTGTTCCAAATCCCCCCACCTCACGACCCCGCACTGATTCTGACTCATCGGACTCCTCAGCTGATCTCCCCACATATAGCCACCCCCTGCACCTTGTGATGGACACCGCCAAGTCTGCTCGCCCAATTGCTGTAGTGACCCAACACTCCCTCAAACAGGCTCCTACTGTCTCCCTGGGAAAGCTCACCCCTGCCATCCTCCTTCAATGGAATCAGCATGTCTCCAATACTTCAAGAAGAAGAACGTTCCCAAGAACAAGAAGATCTTGCACGTTACCAGTGGCCTCATGGATGAGCTCATCCGTGATTGGTACTTGAGCGATTGACTTCCTCACACTCATGCAAAAATGTTGGCTTGACAAGAACTGGGAAGATGCCGCTCTCCACCAGCTCATATACTGCACCAATGTGATGATGAACTGTTTGAAGATTGGATTGTTGCGCTCAAAAAGCAGAATGCTCTCCTCCATGGCAGTTCCCTCCGCATGGACTCTACCATGCTCTGTGTCCATATCTCTGTGAATGCCTGTGAAGAGGTTCACCTCAAATGCAACAAGCCTACCTATCGTGCTATCAGCGACTTCAAGGACTGGAAGGACGCCATCACAACATTTGACAATGATCGCCTTGCGGACTGCGCCAGGTGATTTAAAGAACTCGATCTCTATCTCCATCATAACAAACCCCCCTCCTCTCCACCACTGCTGGGCACCCCACCTTTATTCCCAAGCTCACTCCCACCATCACCGATTCTAAGGCCCATGTAGTGCTTCTGAAACTTACTGACGCTGACTGTGCCTTGCTTGACAAGTATGAAGGATGCTACAAGTGCTGACGATTCTTTATCAAATGCAAGAAGAACAACTGCGCCCACGATTTCCCCGACGCAACCACCTACCAGCCCTTAATGGCCCTGTGGGCCTCGCTGCAAAGAAAGCCCATGACCTTGGCCGCACACATATAGCGGCCACTTCCACTATTGAGGAGATCAGAGATCTCACCATCGCTGCCATCAGTGCCCCACCTGACTCGCTGCTCATGTCCACCTCGAGCGTTTTGGGCACAGGCAACGACTGGGTCTCTGATGAGTATGTTCTCGCTGACCTCACTGTACCCCATGTTGTATGGCATGCTACCATTTTATCCACCTCCTCCTCTGCCCCGTCCTCCCCTATTCCTATGCTGATCAACTGTGGTTTACCATCAGTTCTGATTCGTGAGGACATCATTGAACATTTCCAGCTCCACCGAATCAAGCTCTCCCAACCCTTCCCTCTTGGCAACACTTGGGGCTCAGGACGAGAGGATGCACATGAGTGGGCAAAGTTACATATCACTTCTCCTGATTTTTCTTGGTCTTCCATCTCCTGTCAAGCCATCATCGTTCCTTCTCTCTGTGCCCCTGTAATTCTGTGTAATCCTTTCCTGAAATTCAATCATCTTGTACTTGACATCTCTGCTGGTTCCTTAATGGATAAGTGCACTCAATGCAACATTCTCATTGACGTACCTCGGCCACCACTTTCCCCACCCCCAACGTCTCCTGCTGAGCGTCGTCGAGAAGCCAAAGAGATGCACCACATACAAGCACAATTTTTCCTGGGCTAACATCATGACCGCATGCGCGATCTCCTTTGGAACAATGTCTCTCCAACCATAGCGGTCATTGCTGCTGTACGCTCTAAGATTGAAGAACTCGCTCATCTCGAGATGCTCGCTCGTGCAAATTCCGAAATGAAAGCTCATTTTTCTGATCTTTTCCCCGATGATATCCCTCACATTGACGAACTCCCCATGGATGTCTACCACCACTTCCATCTTAAGGACCCGAACATAGTCATTGCTCAATGACAATACGAATGCCCCAAGAAATAGCATGAGGCCTGAAAGACGCTCCTCCAGCAGCATCTTGACGCCGGACGCATGCAACCATTGTCTTCCCCCTACTCTTCCCCTTGCTTCCTTATTCCTAAGGCTAATCCCACTGCACTCTCACATTGGGTCAATGACTACCGCATTCTTAATGCTAACACTATTCCTGACGTTCACCCCCTTCCTAGTATCCAGGAAATGTTATTGGACTGCGATCATGGAAAAATTTGGGGTAAGCTCGACATGACTAACTCCTTCTTCCAGACCTGTGTACATCCTGATGATATCCCGTTTACTGCTGTCGCTACTCCCTTCGGTTTGTATGAATGGACCATAATGCCCTAGGGATGTCGCAATGCCCCCGCGACACACCAATGTCGCATGTTCACAGCCCTCCATCCCTATATCGGTTCCATCTGTCATGTTTACCTCGACGATATCATCATCTGGTCTGACTCCCTTGAGGAACACCATCAAAATGTCGAGACTATTCTTTCTGCACTACGCGCACATCATCTCTATTGTTCTCCGAAGAAGACCGATCTCTTTTGCCTTGAACTCCATTTCCTCGGGCACCGCATCTCCCATGCTGGTGTCGAAGCTGACGATTCCAAGGTTGAGAAGATTCTTGCTTGGCTCATCCCTTCTTCTGCATCTGATGTCTGCTCCTTTCTTGGACTTGTGAAATACATCTCTAACTTCCTCCCTGCACTCTCTAACCGCACCCGCATTCTGAATTCCCTCTCCACTAAGGAGTCTGAACGTGATTTCCTCTGGTCTTCTGAACACCAGACTGCCTTCAATGTGATTAAACAACTCATTGTCAGTCGCGAATGTCTCACTGTCATCGACCACCAGAACATGGCCGATAACAAGATTTTCGTATGCACTGATGCTAGTGACTGGTGTTCCAGCGCTGTGCTTTCTTTTGGCCCTACTCTTGAGACTGCTCACCTGGTGGCTTTCGATTCCATGCAGTTTAAAGGTCCTGAACTCAATTATCCTGTTCATGAAAAGGAACTCTTAGCCATCGTGCATGCGCTCAAGAAATGGTGTGTCAATTTAATTGGTGTCCCCTTCACCATCTACACTGACCACTGCACTCTCAAGAACTTCACATTCCAAAAGAATCTTTCAAAATGACAAGCTCACTGGCAAGAATTCCTTGCTCAGTACGACTTCGAGATTGTATATCTTCATGGTGAAGATAACACCATCGCCAATGCTCTCTCATGTCTTCCTGCCGACGTTGAGCTCCCCCTGATTGATCTAGTCGAAGTGTCATCGGTTGCCGCTCTATAACCTCTTTGGTCCGCTACTCAAAGCTTGTCCTCACTCTGACCTCTGCCTTTATCTCCTCCCTCATCTCCCATCATACATGCCACCACAACGCATCTCCGAGTGGCTTTTGACCCTGATTGGTTGGCCCGTATTCATTCCGGCTACGCTGAAGGCAAATGGTGCTCACGCCTGCTTCATGATCTCGTGGGCACTACCTGTGCCGACACCGCCACATGCCTGCTCCTCAATGGTAAACTTGATGGTTGCCACACTGCTGGTGGGGCCGTCATTGACAGACTTCTCTATATCAGTGAGTGACTTGTAATTCCACGTGTTACTAATATTCGTGAAGCACTTTTCCGCTTGGCACACGATTCCCTTGGACATTTCAGCTTCGACAAATCCTATGCCCATCTCTGCACATCCTACTACTGGCTAGTGCAGAGCAAGGGTATGGATAACCCTCAAGGGTCAAGGGTAAGGGTATCAAAGGGTAAGGGTAGGGGTATGGATTTTCAAACCCTTGTACCCTTGGAGGGTATCACTACCTATAGTATATATGATGTAGACAGTAACTACAGGGTGAATATAGAGTATGTACAGTCTGAGTACAACTTGAATCATGTTTATAGAAGCTTTAAAGAGAAAAGAAAACTGGTACAAACCTCAGACTTAATATATATAATGTCATTTCCTCAAATAAGGGCAAAGATTGAGGGGTATACCCTTAGGGTTTGGTACCCTTACCCATACCCTTACCCCTGGTCAAGGGTATGTACCCTTGGAGGGTAAGGGTAGGGGTATGCCTCAAAGTACCCAGGGGTATACCCCTGCTCTGCACTACTACTGGCCTCATATGCGCAAAGAGCTTGAGGAGCTTTACGTACCCACATGCAATGAGTGCCAGCGTAACAAATCTCTAACACGCAAGCCCGTTGGGCCCCTGCACCCTCTCCCCATTCCAGATCAGCATTGTGACAGTGTCGCAATCAATTTTATCGGCCCTTTACCTGAAGATGATGGTTACAATTGTATTGTCACTATGACCGACTGTCTTGGTAGCGATGTTCATCTCACGTCCATGCACACTGACATCACTGCCGAAGACTTTGCTGCACTCTTTTTCGAGAAGTGGTACTGTGAGAATGGTCTCCCCTTAGACATTGTGTCCGACTGCGACCACCTCTTCATCAGCCAGTTCTGGAAAGCCCTCCATAAGCTCTCTGGAATCAAGCTTCGCATGTCCACCTCTTACCACCCCGAGACTGATGGTTCCAGTGAATGTTCCAATAAAACTGTCATACAAATGCTCTGATATCATGTTGCCCACAACCAGTCTGGCTGGGTTCGCGCTCTGCCCCTCGTGCACTTCCAACTTGTCAATTCTGAGAATGCTTCCATGGGTTTTACACCATTCCAACTTAACCATGGATGTGCTGTCCGCGTTATCCTACCCATCACCAAGGCATCAATCAACTCGGCTTCTGACTGCCATGGCCTCGACGCTACTCGCACTGCAGAGATACTTAACCGTATGGAAATCAATGTGCTGGAGGCCCAGGACAACCTCATTCTCACAAAAACAAATCAAGCTCTTGCTGCTAACTCATCTCGGTCTCCTGAAATTCCTTATTCTGTCAGAGACCATGTCCTTCTCTCCACATTTTATTGCCAATGTGACTACATGCAACGTGGTGACAACCGCTGATATGCTCCCAGACCTCCTGGCCTCTGAAAATGCATTTTTCAGTGATTGCTCAGACCTCACTACTCTATGTCTTAGCCTCCGAGAGGCATCCGACCCTTTCACGACCTTATGCAAACTTTGGTGACTTCACGCGACTTTGTTCGACTTCTCTCGATTCCTCATGACTTCTCTCCGAGATTCGACATTCTTTCATCACTCATACGCCACTCTTGCATCTCCCCGCTGTCGGATACCACTTACCCGTTGTCCTGTGGTCTAGTCCGATGCACCCTGGCTGATTGCCTTCTAGGTCCATACTTTCCCGATGTCGCACCACCTCTCTGGATGTTGTGCTGACTTACTGGTTTGTCGTGCTGACTTATTGGTGTCGCACAATGGTCGCACCCTCTTGTTTTGCAAATCCCATTCCCTTTATCGTTTGACCTTCCCCTTCAAGACCCCTACCTTCGTGCTGGACTGGAGATGCCGTTAGAGTGTTCCATGTGGTTCAGGACAAGTAGCATATGTTTTCTGTCGATTTCCCTCTACTTTACCATTCTTTTCCATCGCTAACATACGACATTCACCTCTCCACTCCCTTTACCTATTTTTCCATTGGTCCTAGACCATTGCGACTCTTTCTAATGTCAGGATCCATCTTCTGATATTTCGTGACTTTCGCATTTCACCTCTCCCATTTTCCCCTCTATAAATACCTGCTGTATCTATGTCGATTACCATCGAAGACCAGTAGGAGACTTCTCCCTTCACTTGAGATCACTGAGAAACTGCGTTTACTGTGATAGCAACTTCGAACTGCAATATACCCCACTGCGACATAGCAAGACTGCTATACTTTGAGCCTGCGTACTGCAACTGTGATAGTGCACTGCGACACTGCGATAGCGACATAGCGATATAGCGATAGCGACCTGCATTAGTGTTAATCTGACTTTTGCGTTAGACTGACTGCGACTTCATCAAGACGGTGAATACTGCATTCCCCCATAGTGTTCTACCCTCACAGATAGTTCCCTTCCCCTTTGCGATTTAGTTCACCTTCGCCTATGAGTTTGGCAATCGGGTTGCAACTTTAGCTTCCTACCACCGACTTTCACAACTTTGTCGTAGATTGTTGCCCGACTTCGCGCTTACATCGCAAGCCCTTATTTCTTTACAGGTTGCATCCCCCTTTGGCTTAGGTCGAGGTTCTGGGACCCACTTGCATCATTTTACAGTTGCAATGCCCTTCCCTCTCACACAGATTGCCCCTGCTTCTCATTTGTTTTTAGTTGGGTTTAGGTGTTCGTGTCGGGTGTGCACTCATCACTGCGTTGCCAAATTTATGGTTTGCTACGATAGTCCTTACACTATCTCCCACTCCTACCTCGAGTTCTCCGCTTACACACTAGACCTTCCTCCACACATGGCCATTTTTCCCACCTTTCATTCTTCACTTCTCCATTCCTTTATTGCTAATGATGACTCCCTTTTCCCCTCCCAACAGCTGGCCTAACCCGGACCTGTGGTCACCGCGGATGGCCAGGAGGAATGGTTTGTTGAATGCATCCTCGACCATCATCGCCATGGTCATGGTTGGCATTATCTTGTTCATTGGGCCAGCTATGACCCCAATTCTGATACTTGGCTCGCAGGTGCCGATGTCACTGATCTTCAAGCTCTAGATGTCTTTTTACAGGAATGCAGTCTTGAAGCTTAAGTTGCCATGAAGTCCTCAGTGCTCAACACACTTTAATAAAATGTCTTCCCTTTCTGCTTGTCTTCTGCCACTCGCTTTCGCCCCTCGCTATCCCTTTTCCTTCTTTCTTTTACCTTCTCCCCATGCCAAATTTCTTCTGACCGGTGAGAGTGTAACCCCACTCACGTGCTTACGACAGTTTGTTTGTTCCTCCTTCCTATTACGTACTGTTTATATCATGTTTGTCTTCATTGCCCATTCCTTACTCTCTCCCCACGGCAATGAAGGTATGTACATGTACACTGTCTGCTCTGTATCATAGTTTCTTACTCTCTCCCCACGGCAACGAAGATTATAGTTCGCACCTGTTCCGTCTTTGGCTGATTCTGAGTGAAGCGTGCCCTCGACCAGACCCACTTACATAAGCTTCCTCTCCTTTCACGTTCATGGTACTGACTACAGATGCCAGGTATATAAGCACATTTTTACCGGGCCATCATCTGCACTTAAGGATATCAAAAATAAGACTACTAAGCATCCACAGACTCGTGAACCCATTGGTCGGAAGGTCTGACCAGTGTTACACCTGAAATTATCGGATATGCCACTGTGCAGATAAGTGCAGTTCAACTTCCATGTTGTCTGTTTATAGTTCTCATTCTCATCTTATTCCTCATAGGCATGCTTTTACATCAGCAAACAACATCTGTGGTCAGAAAATGATGGGCAATTCAACAATGGCAAGTTTTTCAATGCAATCATTGAACTGTTGTCTGATAAAGAGGACAAGAACACTCAGGAGACTCTGACATGGTGGAATGAGTAAGTTGTATTTGTCTCTGCTTATTGTTGCTCATAATTTTGGTTAACAGGCAAGTATTTGGGAAGAAAGAGGCAACATCAACAGTCACTGAGCCTGCTGCAACTAGCGTCACCCAAATCAAAGCTCAATGTGCAGCATGGCATGCAGCAAATGCTGCAAACCCTGTTTCCGGTCGTTCAATGTCTACTACTGCTGTATCGATGCTTAATAGGCCTGCATCACATCCTCCTGAACTACTGCAACACCGCAATTCTCTGTCCCAATCTCCCACACCATCTGTACTTCCCCCGCTCCCTGATCGCCCACAGATTTCCTGGCTGACCATGCATAAGTCTGATGCAGACTCGTACTGCACTCTCTCAGCCCTGGGTGAAAGCGTACTAGACAGTATACCCATGGACACAGCCTCCCACCAGCATCGCAGTCATCCACGTCACTATCATAGCAAGTCTCCTTCAGCTCAAGATCAGCAGAGCAAGGTGCCCACTCACACCTTTCAGTCATGTTACCTGAACTGAACTCCCATTTACCCTAACATTGTCATGAACTGGACTGCCATCGGACGTCGACCCATCAGTTTGTGTAGAGAGCTGTCAGTGATGAGCCCATGGCGATGAAGGGAAGGCTGGAGTGATGGGCCCACCGTCATGGGGGTAGTTCTGAGCAATGGGCCCACCGCCATAGGAGTACTTCTAAGCAGTGGGCCCATCATCATAATGCTATTATTTAGCGATGGGCCCACCACCATAGAGGCATTTCTGAGCAGTGGGCCCACCATCATAGGTGATGTTCTGAGCAGTGGGCCCACCGCCATAGGTGATGTTCTGAGCAGTGGGCCCACTGTCATAGATGTTATTATTTAGCGATGGGCCCACCATCATAGGGGTACTTCTGAGCAGTGGGCCCACTGCCATAGGTGATGTTCTGAGCAGTGGGCCCACTGTCATAGATGTTATTATTTAGCACCGCCATAGGGGTACTTCTGAGCAGTGGGCCCACTGCCATAAGGGTACTTCTGAGCAGTGAGCCCACTGCCATAGGTGATGTTCTAAGCAGTGGGCCCACCACCATAGGGGTACTTCTGAGCAGTGGGCCCATCGCCATAATGCTATTATTTAGCGATGGGCCCACTGCCATAGGGGTACTTCTGAGCAGTGGGCCCACTGTCATAGATGTTATTATTTAGTGATGGGCCCACTGCCATAGGTGATGTTCTGAGCAATGGGCCCACTGTCATAGATGTTATTATTTAGTGATGGGCCCACCACCATAGGGGTACTTCTGAGCAGTGGGCCCACCACCATAGGTGTTGTTCTGAGCAGTGGGCCCACCGCCATAGGTGATGTGCTGAGCAGTGGGCCCACCACCATAGGAGTACTGCTGAGCAGTGGGCCCATCGCCAAGAGTGTAATATGAAGGATGGGCCCACTGCCAAAGGTCAGAGGGTTGGCCATCACCAGAGCATGTTACTGCCAGCAATGGGCCCATCACCAAAGTACCCTCAGTCAGGGCCTTACTGCAAGCACCCATGGCATAGGTCATCTCCAGGACATGTTTCCGCCAGCAATCGGCCCACTGCCAAAGGCCACAGGGTTGGCCATTACCAGGGCATGTTTCTCCCAGTAATGGGTCCATCGCCAGAGTAGTCAAAGGTCAGAGAGTTGGCCATCACCAGAGCATGTTATCGCCATCAATGGGCCAACTGCCAGAGTATAATCAATGAGCAGTGGGCCCATCACCACAAGTGTAAGATGGAGAATGGGCCCACTGCCAAAGGTCAGAGTGTTGGCCATTACCACAGCATGTTTCTCTGAGCAATGGGCCCACCACCAAAGTATGATCAATGAGTCCAGATATATGGTGAACTATGACTTTACATTCTGATGATGGCGAGACTCAATTTGCCAAAAAGTCGCCAACCTGGCTCTCCTTCTCTGGTGCAGTTTGTCAAACTTGGAGGTCTGACTGAAACTTGGAAAAGAGGATTTATAAATACCATTCTATGAGTTCCTGGTATATGGCAAGCCATGGTTTTATATCCTGAAAATGGTGTGACTCAACTAGTAAAAAACTCGCCAACCTGGCTCTCCTTCTTTGGTGAAGTTTGTTAAACTTGGAGGACTGTCTGAAACTTATAGAAAAGGATTTATAAAGTGCCAGTGATGTCAGTTATGAAAGATAATCTTTTCCATCAATAAGTAGCAAATTTTCATGAGAATTGCTACTTTAAAGTAGACTTATTTGTAGGTGCATAGATTAACTCAGGATAATCTTTCAGATAATCTTAATATAATCTTTCGGATAATCTTTCGGATAATCTTTCGGATAATCTTAATATAATCTTCTGGATAATCAGAGGATAATTTTCTGGATAATCTGAGGATAATCTGAAGATTAGCAATAAAATACAATTTTAACTTTGACACCAGCCAGGATTGAACCCTGGACCTTAGGTTGATTTTATAGAATATAATTCCAAGTGACACTTTAGACCACTTGACCATTAGACCATACATCACAACTATCTTATCTTAAATTAAACATCTTTTTTTTGGAAAAGACTTAGCCAAATTCTGTCTATTAAAAGAGAATAAGTAAAAGACACTTGACTTTTATTATAGATAGACAAGACTTATAGACAAACAGTACTCTGCATCTTATTATAGTCTTGTCCTACAGCTTACAGTTTTTGTAAACTATCATGTAGTACTATAAAGTATCTAAATGTAGCCATCTATAATATATAACAAGTTATTGAGAGACAGTATTTTATTTGTTCATTTTAGGCTTATACTCTAGAGTCTATTATATTATAGACTGAGCACTTATACCTACAAGATCTTTATAGCTATCTTCCAATTATATAGCAAAGTTCTGTTTTACTGAAGTAACTGTAGAAACTTATATTCTATTAATTACATATTATACTACATTATATGAAGGCTGCAAGCATTAGAAAAGACTATAAGACTCAGAGTAATGTTTGTCTATAAGTCTTGTCTATCTATGATAAAAGTCAAGTGTCTTTTACTTATTCTCTTCTAATAGGCAGAATTTGGCTAAGTCTTTTCCAAAAAAAAGATGTTTAATTTAAGATAAGATAGTTGTGATGTATGGTCTAATGGTCAAGTGGTCTAAAGTGTCACTTGGAATTATATTCTATAAAATCAACCTAAGGTCCAGGGTTCAATCCTGGCTGGTGTCAAAGTTAAAATTGTATTTTGTTGCTAATCTTCAGATTATCCTCAGATTATCCAGAAAATTATCCTCTGATTATCCAGAAGATTATATTAAGATTATTCTCAGATTATCCAGAAAATTATATTAAGATTATTCTCAGATTATCCAGAAGATTATATTAAGATTATCTGAAAGATTATCCTGAGTTAATTTATGCACCTACAAATAAGTCTACTTTAAAGTAGCAATTCTCATGAAAATTTGCTACTTATTGATGGAAAAGATTATCTTTCATAACTGACAAAGATGAAAGTGCAGTGCCACCATTTTAGACTTCCTGAGTATATGGTGAGCCATGGCTTTATATTCTGGTAATGGCGAGACTCAATGTGCCAAAAACTCACCAACCTGGCTGTCCTTCTCTGGTGCAGTTTGTTAAACTTGGAGGACTGTCTGAAACTTGTAGAAGAGGACTTATAAAGTGCAGTGCCACCATTCTCTGAGTTCCTAGTATATGGTGAGCCATGGCTTTACATTCTGGTGATGGCGAGACTCAATGTGCCAAAAACTCGCCAACCTGGCTCTCCTTCTCTGGCGAAGTCTGTTAAACTTGGAGGACTGTCTAAAACTTGTGGCAGAGGATTTATAAAGTTAACTTCCATAATTTCATGAGTTTCTAGTATATGGCGAGCCATGGCTTAACATTCTGGTAATGGTGTGACTCAACTAGTAAAAAACTCGCCAACCTGGCTCTCCTTCTTTGGCAAAGTTTGTTAAACTTAGAGCACTGTCTGAAACTTGTAGAAGAGGACTTATAAAGTGCAGTGCCACCATTTTAGACTTTCTAGGTATATGGCGAGCCATGGCTTTACATTCTGGTAATGGCAAGACTCAATGTGCCAAAAACTCGCCAACCTGGCTGTCCTTCTCTGGCGAAGTTTGTTAAACTTGGAGGACTGTCTGAAATTTGTAGAAAAGGACTTATAAAGTGCAGTGCCACCATTTAATGAGTTTTTAGTATATGACGAGCCATGGCTTTACATTCTGGTGATGGCGAGACTCAATTTGCTCAAAAGTCGCCAACCTGGCTCTCGTTCTCTGGTGCAGTTTGTTAAACTTGGAGGACTGTCTAAAACTTGTAGCAGAGGATTTATAAAGTTAAATTCCATAATTTTATGAGTTCCTAGTATATGGTGAGCCATGGCTTTACATTCTGATAATAGTGTGACTCAACTAGTAAAAAACTCGCCAACCTGACTCTCCTTCTTTGGTGAAGTTTGTTAAACTTGGAGAACTGTCTGAAACTTGTAGTAGGGGATTTATAAAGTGAAGCGCCACCATTCTACGAGTTCCTGGTATATAGTGAGCCATGGCCTTACATTCTGGTGAAGGTGAGACTCAACCAGTAAAAAACTCAGCAATCTGACTCTCCTTCTCTGGCAAAGTTTATAGAACTTGGAGAACTATCTGGAATTCATAGTAGTTGATATATAAAGTAAAGCACCACCATTTCATGAGTTTCTGATAGAGGTTGAGCCATGGCTTCACATCCTGACAATGGCTAGACGTAATCTGGTGATTTTTCACTAACCTGGTGATCCTTCTCTGGTAAAGTTAATTCAAGTTGAAGCACTGTCTGGAATTGATAACAGTTGTTGTATAAAGTGAAGGGCCACCATATTATGAGTCCCTGATTGCTGGCCTGCCATGGTATCACATATAAAAATGCTAAATGACCAGCTGGCACTGCTTCTGTAATGAAGTCTGTATGCAATGGAGTATCATCTGAAACTTATGGCCAAAGTTATATACTGTGGAGTATGAACTGCAACTTGGAGTAGCAATATCATATCATGACTTAACAGATATTAATTCTCAATAACAATTAAGTGTAACTCTTTGGAGAGAGCTACACTTAAGTTCATGAAGTGTGTTTTGCTTCTCATATAACTAAATGCCAGACATTTGTTAGAAAATGACAGATATATCTTTTTCCAGACAACATGTAGTCAACTGTAATGTTAAGTGATTAGCAAGCTTTACTTCTCAGAAAGCAGCAAAGTTCACTTCAGAAGAGTTAGCAATATTTGACTCCGAGCTTTATAGACTTCTTATAAACTTGTCAAGAATCTATCTAGCTCTGATATAAGGTGTATGTAATCATCATCCTTTAATGTAGATAGAAAAATGTATTGAAGAAGAATCTCAAATATATAGAAGAAACAACATATAGGAGCCATTATGTTCATGTAGATGTGTGTGCACTCAGAGACTAAAAAGGAAAGTGTGATTCCTTGACCAGTTCAGCAAGTCATGTGAAGTTCATTAAAGGTAGACAATATTGAATTCTTCACATAACACTAAGTGATTGTGATCAAAACTAACCACAACATCATATCTTGCATATAAAGTGTTGTACTTTATTACACATAGTATCATGCAGAGAAATGGTAAGTTGTATGCTGAACTTCTCAAAGTGTTCACAGACCATTAGAATGGCTGTGTGTATCTTGCTAAACTTCAAGAAGTAATGCAAGGCTTCTAATTTAGAGCATACAACTGCTGTTGTAAGATTTAGTCACTCTTCCATATTATATATATATAAGATTATCACAGTCGGTTAGCACGCTAACTTGTGAGTGTATTGAGGATGATTAGATGTGACTCACAACCAACTACGAAGTCATACAACACTGGCATTGAACAGTAATGCAACTGCTGCTCTAAGTTTTGAAAGGCTTAGATACTTCACTTTATAATAAATAGCAGATTGTCAGCATTGAATCTCAGTGCATCCACACTTTGCCAAAATGTACAAACACAGCCTAACATCAGCCAGAAGTCCATATAAAAAGGACATCACAGTATATAGCTACTGCTACAACTTATAGTCAGTACTTCATATCATATGAAATTCATCAGTGTATGTGAAAAAAGAAGTATCAGGTTGTCAGTTACATTTTCACTGTGGCTCACCATCTATAAGGAACACATGAAATGCTGACACCACTTAATATAACATTTACTTCAATTTTTAAACAGTGCTCTAAGTTATACAACCTTTACCAAAGAACAAGTGCCAGATTGGTCATTTGTTTCCTGGTTGAGTCTAGCTATTATCAGGATATAAAGCTATAGCTCACCATTGATCAGAAACTCAGAAAGTGATGTCACTTCACATTATGAAATGTCTACTATAAATTCCAGACAGTGCTTCAAGTTTGACTAACTTCACCAGAGAAGAAGAGCCAGGTTAGTAATGTGTTTATTGGTTGAATCTAGCCATTCTCAGGATATTGAGCCATAGCTCCCATCTACAAGAAACTCAAACAATGATGGTGCTTCACTTG